CGAGATCGATCGATCGTTACAACTCTCAGCGCGACTATAGTAACGATCGATCGATCTCGCCGCACGTTTGAATTGGGCAGTGGGCCGGCCTAAGACAGCGATTTTTAATAATTAATAACTCGTTAACTATTGCAAAACCTGCAAAGTGGTACAGGACTTTTCGACTTAGTCTAGTCCACTCTATCCCACAATAAGCGTTGATGCGGGTATTACATAACACCCTGTATTTCTACATACGTATGTATGTAGTCAGATGTTTTGATGATATTAGCAGAAACATTGTATAAAATTGTTTCAAAATAAAGTTCAGCTGAAACGAAGGCAATTTTAATGAATTTAAATATACACCATTGCGGAGAATCTCCAATATCGTCAACGATGAATGTGAGCCGGCCATGTAATACAAGGCACGACGCAATTGAAGCTTGTTTAACACCGCCCGATGATAATGAAACATTCTCGAGACATTTTCGGCGTGTACGGCCGCAATATATCGGTCACCCCCTTCAGACTGTAATTACTGCCCCAGTTTGTAGCCTTGCTACCAGCAGATGTCCGCCGACGATAAGGCGGCGAAACTTGATTCGATAAGACTTGACTCGAAGCGAAGGCCGAAGGCGTGCTGGTCTCTCACGTAGCCTTTATTTTCTCCCCTCCCCTTGGAGCACGAATCGATTACGGCGAATTGCCGCAATTTAACACTCGGCAAACTGATACGCTCACTCGTGACGCCAGGTGAATTGGTGACGGAACTCCCGATGAACGCGCGTCCATCTCCGGATAGATGCGACGGGGAGCCTCGGCGATAAAAGAGAAAGGATGAAACCGGCGCCGTCAGCCTGACCGTTAAACTAATGAACATACATGCATCCGCCATCCCGGCTCTCTCTCTCCCTCTCTCCGGAGGGAGAGACCCACGGCGACTAACCCCGTGCTCTCGATCGACATGGACCGACGCGACGGCGAGGCGAGGCGAGGACGAAGCGGGGCGCCGTCGCCGTCGCGTCGGAGTAGCGGCCGCGCGCAGCTGCAGCCCGCGTCCGTCCTCGCTCTTGCCCCGCGAGAGGATCGTTCAGTGAACGAGGTGGAGCGGTTTCGAGCGGTTCCGAAACGATCGACGTCTCCTCGCGGTGTTCGGAGTGCTCGGGAGCCGCGGACGCCCTGGTAAACCAACCGCGCCAAGCCCCAGCGGTCGAGCGGTGCGCTCGCGTAGGCTCGCAGTGGTGATAACGTTTATTACGCCGCCACGTAGGAGATACGGACGCGCGTAGACGGACGCGCGACGGACGCGACGTAAGGCGCTTCTCCCTGGGGCATCGACGGCGCGAGGGTGCGCCGGGGAGGTCGGGAGGGCGGGAGGGAGGGAGGGGAGAGCAGGCGACGGGGAAGGATGTCGATGCGCCGTCGGTGGTCGGTTTCGGGGGTTGATTCGCGCCGCGGGGGCGATGAGCGCGCTTCCCTCCGCCCTGAGACTGACCTCCTGCTGCTGCTGCTGCTGCTGGCTCCTGCTGACTTGCCTCGTCGTCTTCCTGATACCTGCGCCCTGCACCAGCGACACGCCGCAGCGGATAGCAAGCCGGACTCGAGAACGCTCGGCAGGTGATGATAACGCGGCGCTGTACGTGCCCAGCTACCTCGACGACGACGCCGAGGTCTACGAGGACGAGCAGATATCCACCGGCAATGGCGACCTCGAAGAGGACTGGTCCGATAGAAATATTACCGCGGGTGAGTTAGGGCCTCGGTTCGTACAACGGCAACGGCAATCGATGCCAGGGGGAATAGCTGTACGTTTCAAGGAAATGACCGGCATAATGCTTTGCGCTTAAATTAGAATTCGATAACGGCGAAACGACTCGACACATCCAAGTGATAGAGATTTTCCTCAGTACGTCTCTTAGTATCGATCAGAATTTCCCTCTCAACGACTAACGAATGATGCGTGAGTATTGTTAGGCGGAAAAAGGCTCGTGTCGATGATTACAGCATCGAACGTTTTGGGGAAGGAAGACCTAGAACCCAATATTTATAGGATAGCGATGAATAGCATTGTGATGCTAGTTCGTTACCTAGGTGATGTCGGTGAAGATGAAATCGTTAAACATCAGGTGTCGCTCCCGAAATATAACATCCCTGATGAATTCCTCGTCTCTCTTCAAATCTCTAAGAAAACTAGTTGGTATATGCAATTGTCAGTGAAAAAAATCAAATATCGCAATTGTCACACTGGGTTCCGTTGCGAAATATTTGTGAAAGCACGAAAGGATTACTCAATGTCGGTAATCTCACGATACGCTGATTACTTTCTATTTTTATATTATTATGTGATATTTGTGGGACATGAAAGAAACTTCTAATCAAACTATTGCTAATTATATTAAGCATTTCTTTCTTCGTATTGGTTGACGTCTATTATGTTCTAGGAAAAAGTACATTCTGTGAAAATATCCTAAAATTAATAAATTCTATCTGTTTGGTTTACAATTTCGTAATAGAATTTCTAAATCATATTTGTTGAATTAACAAATACAAATAAATTTTTAAACTAATAAAGAAATATAACATAAGGGCCAAATGCCAAGTTTCTAAAAAGTTAATTATGCTGAACCAAATTGTCGGCATTACTTAATAAATTGTGAAAGAATTGAACTGCATTGAAAAAAACATCTGGTCGCATTAATTAGAAATTTGGTAGGTTCAACCAGTCGTCTGTTAGAAACTGAACAAATCAGAATTGCTTTAGGATTTACCAGATGTGTACTGAAGTCTATCAAACTTCTGGTTATGAGATACCGAGCTCTATCGTGATAACTAGAAATTCTGTTTGGTTTATCCTAAACACATTCTATCATACATGTCTTGTTGTTACGATTAAAGCATTGTTCTCGGTGTGTAAATAAGATGAACGAGAAAAATTAAATAAGACACGAGAAAGGTATACTAAAAAAATAAGCAAACAAGAAGACAGATAAAGTAATTATAATTACGTTCAAAATTCTTCAATAATTAACATAATTTACACTCGAAACATTCGTTTTGCACACAATAATGCTCTAATTTCACGTAAGACAATAACGATAACGAACGAAAGCGATATATCTCAAGGCTCTCCCTACTTGCGCCTGCTCCATAATGTGCAAACACTTTCCTCGGGAATGCTCATCTATTTAAAGTACATACCTTCATTCCCGATTACATTTTCAAATGTGATTAAATATGGCTGTATACTAGTTCAATATTTAAACAAAACTTTCATGATAAAACATGATAAATTCACCAATTGATATAAAAATATGATACACTATTTTTTCAAGTAAAAAAAATGTGCTTTTTCACTACAGAAATAAGTTTTAGGCTACTCAAAAATATGGTAAAAATGTTCCCACACGCAATCCCTCTCCTACACACATTTCCATAAGCAATTGGAGCAATTTTTTAAGTCAATTGCGATTATTTCTATTCCATTCTCAAAACCACATATTGATTGTTATTTCACTAATGCTTTGGTCACGTAAAATTTAAGTTTTTGTTAAATGTTACGCCATATCGTACACATTTTTTCTACTTCCATAAAAATCTCAAGCTTTACCGTGTCTAGCGTCCATTTAATTTTCCTCTTTACTTTTATCTCGTTAGGAATTTATATTAAAACATTGTACGCACTATTTTTATATTCTAAAAGCGGAAAGTACCTCCAGCGATTGATTTTAGCGTCAATTTAAACGAGAAAGAAACGCGTTCGTCTTGATTTTCGCGCCAAGCATGCCGTCGGTATTGATTTTAATGGATGCTGGCAGGCTCTGCTCTCTAGGCCCGCGTATGTCAATTAAACTGCACGTTGTGCCTATGTTCGTTCTCTATCGAAAGTGTAACTTGCCGCAAGGATATGGCTTAACAAAAGTGATAGCGTATTGTTGGCGTAAATTTTTTGTTTAACTTGGATTTTCATTGCAATAAAAACTACGAGTCGATTTGCAGTTTTTATTGCAATAAAAAAGCAAAGTTAAATAAAATTGATTCACCCATAAAGAATCGCGTTTGCTTCTCAAAACCTGCTTTTTCCTTCTTACTCCCTGATTAATGCAGTCAAAGGGAACGGATTAGCATGAAGAGTAAAAACTTAGCCGTATACAGTTATTGATAACAAGGAAATTGATAAGTGATAAAAAGGGACGAAAGCGTCAGAGCTTACTGCCGCTTCGAATTAACTTCATATCCAAATGGAAAGACGTAATCTGCTCGATAATAGAAATGAATTATTACATGCAAATACTGACTTGCAATTAGCAAGCGGCATAAGAGTGTGCTTATTAAATATTAAAATATCTTCCACTTGATTTCACGCGCTTTTTGTAATTTTCCTTAATTTCAATTTAATCAATGTGATTCAAGATAATATTAAGGACTCGAACGCATAATTTCTTAATTATACTTAATATAGCTGCACGTGCTAATCCATCAGACGTTATTAAAACTTTCCGTTGAACTCTCCGTTGAAATCACGCGAATCTAAATTTTCGCTCGATGACGGGGAAACGATAACGCGCACGCGACGTAGCAGTAACGCGTACGTGCAATGAACTTTAATCAGTATGAAATTTAATGCGGCCTGTTAAAGAAATCCAGTTGAGGCCGCGCATTTTCAACCTGAAAACTGAAGGAGTACGCGAAACAGCACGCCGGCAACTATGTTGCACGAACGCCATTATCCGCAAGACAATGAGTTCTGTAATATTGAAATCTCTGCAGTTGCATACGCGTCCGTGGCGCCGCTAAATGACACAAAGCGCATTTATCACGCACGACTGTCGTTGTCATTAAATAAGCGATTTATGCGTTGATCCGAATAGCCCGAAGAAGAGCCGCATCGTAAGCGATTGACAAATATAGATATCTATCCATTTAAAAGATAAATAAAGAAATGTACATTATTATTATTATTAGAATATGAGATAAGGCTTTAACAAATTAGTGCCGAATTTAAAGATTCAAAAATTCAGCTTCGCAGCTTCGTGGTATATTTATTTTATATAAAAAAGAATTAATCTTTTTCTACTTCAGATACAATTGATAATAAGAAAATTTATTTATCTAACTTTTAGAAAAATATACACGGAGAGAATTTTCTTAAAATTTATCCTGAAAATCATGTGATATCGTGGGGCAATTTTGCAGAATTTCAAAACAACTCATAAGATTCCTTGAAATGCCGTATTGTCCCACGATTGCATAATTTTCAGGATAAATTTTAAAAGAAAATTCTCTCCGTGTTCGCGTTTTAAGGGATACTCAATTAGGAAATTTGAAAGTGTTCATACATTATCGCTGCATTGCCGCACATTGCAGTTTGAAAACGTGCCAACGGGAGTTAGCAATTATCGCCTGGCCTACTGCTGCGAACCAACGGAGGGTACAGTGTGATACTGTTGCAATAGCCTAGCAGTGAACTCGTAACAAATAAGTTGGCGTGCTGCCAATTAGATGTATCTAAAGTCCGCAACTGAATTAATAAATTGCAAAAGTTAGGATATCCCCCACTTGCATTGCTGCGAATCTTATGTTTTAATATTATTGCAAAAATGCAATACAACAAACTTGAAAATTTATTATCAAAAGTACACGTAGCTGAATTAGCCGTTTTGTCTTTACTAATGACAGATGTCGGTAAAGAAACAGTCAAGTGTTTTTAGATTAGTAAAGAAACTAATAAAATTAAATTTGTCACAAATAATTAAAAGTTATTCTAAATTTTGGTTCACTAATAAAGAAGATTTTATGTTACAACGCGCTAAGACAATATTGCAGAAACAATAATCCATATAAATAATTTCAGGCTGTATTAGCACAGGGAAAGCTAACAAATATAAAATTCGCGATTTTCTAATTCATTTAAATCATGTATGTGTCAGAAGCTATAATTATTATCTTCTGTGTATCGCAATGTCATTTAATGATATTTAAAGCAGAAATTTAAGTATTCACTGTGACTTTCTGCAGAAAAAGGACGGTACTTGGGCTCGCCTTGCGACGTCGTGTGCAATCCCGAGCTACAGCACGTGTTCTGTGATTCAATCACTGGCCTCTGCGAGTGCGAAAAGTTCTACCCCGTTCGTCTCGGGCCTACCAAGGGATGTGCCAAACGTATGTAAAAGCTAGGGACTAGTTACCCTCATGCCTAACACAAGTAGGTCGTTCCGATATCATAACTTCCATGGTAACGGTCGGTGAAAATAAATGTTCGCGCGCTCCTGATGGCCTGAATGAAGTCCGGCGGCATGAAAAGACTTTGTGCACTCGTTCATTTTACACAACGAACGCGCAAAGCGCGAAAACCGTAAATGAATCTCTAAAACGATACGGGTTAAACGTTTGCCTGGCATTACATCGGAATGCAAGAAATTGCAAAAAGAAGATAAAAAGAGACACCGTGGCAAGTATTTCAACGTGTGGAGTATAAAGCTTTCTGAATTGGAAGAGCAGGATTTCGACGACAGTTTGAGAAAAGTTCGAATCTACCATAGATTTGAGAAGATGGAACTTGGATCGAATTCCCACTGAATAAAAGATATCTTTCTCAATAAGTAAACACGAGCTATCGGTTCTTGCTTTCAGCCAAAAAACTCGGAGAACAGTGCTTCTATCGTGCGACATGTACTTTTGCGGATCAACATTCGACGTGCACGCAGATTCAACACAATGCAGTATGCGATTGCGAAGAGGGATATCACAGGGTTGCTCTGTCTAGGCCTAACAAGAAGGTTTTCTGCGCGGAAGGTATGCCTCGATATTTGTCTCAATCGAGATTTCCGTAAGACTCTTACTAACCGATCGTGAGATCTTTGTTAAAATTAAAAATTCCATCCCGTTCTTCAGCATTGATTATTATCGGTTTTATTGCGTAAATAATACTGTCGTTTTAATTAATGCACCCAGCTGACTATAAATACCGAGATAGATTTGCCACCGAAGCGAAATTCGAGGAAATATATTTTAATATCGATCCGCGACGAGTGCCGCGTCCTCCTTTAATTCGCCGTAATCTGGCCCGATAGATCTGGTGCTGATAACTACGGACCTTCCGACCCTACTCTGCATAGCATCGGGGATAGCCATCTTTACGGCGATGATATGCTTCGTGCTCAAACTATTCAGCCGGGCGAGGTATTCAAGGCCGCGACATTACGCCAATGCCAATCATGCGCCACCCATGCTGTTTTCCACTGACACGGGTAAGTAATGACTAATTAATCCCGGTGTTCTGCGGGAGTGGATCAGAGAAATGGGTACCGCAATTATATACGAAAAGAAATGTCTGGAGAGACGTTAATTGCAAGTAGCGATCCGTTCTTGGAGACTTCTTTGATAATCCAAGTATTTGTTGGAACTTGATAAACGCGGTGACGCAATGCAATCCTCATTTCTTTCAAAATAAAAGAAATGAAAGCCAGAATTTTGGCGTCGCAACTAAATGTGACAGTAGTTGCGCGATTATTTGCACCGTGTCTTTATTTTGAGGAATAATTTCCGCGAACGTTATAATCTTGCGTAATATGTTTCAATCTTTCTCTTTGAATTTAAAATATTTATTCTGACTGGAAACAGCCGGGATCACTTCGGGAGACTGTAGATCGTTTTACAGAATTAATGCCTCGCCCACAATTTCATATTTTTGTATCGTAAAAACTATATAGAGTCTGTAAATATACAGAAGGAAACTATAATTTGCCGTTGTTATTTCAAACGAAAGTACAAGCAAATTACTCATCTTCATAATTTTTCTAAAACTGCACCGTTTAGCGCGCTCTCAAATCAGATGCGCAAATTCGACAATAATAATTCTTCCCCTTCGTGGAGAACCTACTTTCGCTTCTGCGAAATCAATAGAAGATATCTATATATCGATACCGTGCATAGTATATTCCAAAGAGAGGCATCTATTCTCGTCTTACTTCGTTACTTACGACGTCACATATGAAACTATACTTCTAAACCAGATACAGGAACGAGATCTTAAAAGAACTCCAAAAACTCACCGCATTCCCGCGCACGGTGGATAAAGAGCTAAATATATCCTGCTGTCTCAAAATAATATAATAAAAAGAGCAATCCTTTCGTGTTCACGGACGAGTTCTTTCAACAATGTTAGTCTCTGCATACTTTATAAAAGAGATATCGACGCCCATCGAGACACCCACCTCCTTATTTTTGTTTTGAACAAAAATGACTTCCGCAATTTCATTCTGTTTACGTAACCGTCTCTTATATGGACAAATATTGTATGCATATTGTATACACCGAGCGCGATATATTGTTGCAGCGACGTACGTAACGTATATACTTGTATGTCCGGCATAGTAAACGGACAGCATTAGAAATATATCTCGTTCAAAAAGTCGAACCGGCGGCTCGCCGGTATCTCATCCGAAAGGTCAAACGAAACGTCCGTCACGTCCGCGAGAAAGCTAGCGGCCATTAAGCGCCGTCCATCGGCGCGTATTCCATCCCCATACGCGGAAATAACTTGGGGAAAATAAAATTTCGCAGGCATACCGCTGCACGGACGGCCGTCGTCGCGATTGAGCGAGCGGAGCGGCAGCGCCGGGCCTCTCAGCTGCGCGTTCACCAGGAGGCCGAGCAGCGGCGGCAGCCGCGGACCCCTGGTACCAGCGTCCAGAGCAGGTGCGGCACGGGCCGCCGCTATCTTGCTTATATCGTGTCACCTGCAGGCGACTAAGGACGGCAACAAGCACCGACGTACCCTTAGTGACGTGGCCGAGGGATCGACCGACGGCCTCGGTAGACGATCTCGTTTCTCTCTCTCTCTCTCTATCTCTATCTCTCTGTCTCTTTCTGCTATCGCTCTTTGGGTGTTTCACATCCTGTCGTATGAGTACCGTACCTCTCTTTGACGTTCGCTCCACGTCTTCCTACTTGCTTATCGATCTACATTGGGTAACCATAAAATTCGATTTGCGTTTACGTAGTTCGTGCGAGTGACATAAACATGACACAGAGAATACACTTGCCTTCTTCGTCGAGGTACATCGTTATCGGTATCATTATCGCTGTGTTCATTCATACAAGCGTTACCCTGGCAGTGACAGATTCATGCGTCGCCACTACATATGTGTAACTATCTGTTATCTTGCGCGCTCTCTCTCTCTCTCTCTCTCTCTCTCTCTCTCTCTCTCTCTCTCTCTCTCTCTATTTCTCTATTTCTTCTCTCTTCAAATGTACCGTAAAACGGGGTGAATTGGGACACGGGGGGTGAATTGGGACACTCGTACGCCTACCCGTTTGAAAAGTTCCGCCTGAGTGCGAATAGCATTCACAGCCTTGCAGCAATTGTTGCAGCAATTTCTCGCTTGCGAAGAGTCCTTTTTTCGAAAACTTTTGCGAAGAATTTTCAAACAGGTAGGCGTACGAGTGTCCCAATTCACCCCCCCGTGTCCCAATTCACCCCGTTTTACGGCACTTCTCCATTTGTCCACATTACTCTTCCTCTATGTTCGTCAATGCAATTCGCTTCTTGTACTGGCAACGGTGGTGTAATTGCGAAAGGATTATTTGTGGTGACGAGTGTTGATGACGGAATAGCATCGATGCTTCATGCCGAATCATGTCATTGTCGCTGTCGCTGTTACATGGTCATGGTAACTAGCTGTTGTCGATGGCTGTTTTAGATATCCGTGTTTCATCCGAAATCCCGGCTCTTGGTAATCTCGTCTGTATGTCTGTTACGCGTTTTGCTCACTGGACGCATTCAATGGCCATTCCACGTTAGACATTATCTGAATACGAAAGAAAAACTTCGCAGCTTTGGATACAATAATTGACAGTTCTTGTTAACCGCAGTTATTTTTACATCAATACAATTATTATTCATGTACTTTTTTCCAGATACCAATACGTATACGTACATATACGATGATGTAAGGATAATTAAATACAGTTAACAAGAATCGTATTAATATATGTATACGTTCATATACATATATCAGTGACTTGCGTGACGTTCTTTCTTCCTTAAAATAAGAAATTAAAGTGTGCTTTCTTGGCTGCCAACGTCTTAGATACAATAATCACTGAATGAGTTGTTATGTATGTGTATACAAAATAACGTCTCAAAGAAAATCGTGCAGGCAGCAAGGTCTGCATTTCTAAAGAAACAAGAAATATGAAACTGTGAAATATAAAATGCATCACAAGTGTGTTACGAGATAGCAAGATAGCAGCGGCCGATTTCGTTGCTCGTTTACAAGTGAATCTTTTCTGGTAAGACGTAGAGAGACACGAAATCCTTACGCACTAGCTAGCTCGATGCACACGCACATTTACACACACGCACACGTATAAATAAATGTCACGTCGATTATGCGTACAATCAGGGACCAGTTTCTCGGTAAATGTTACGCGTTTCGTAAGATTACTCGCTTTCTTATCAAATTAATAATAGTAGAAGAGCAAATGTCTAATTAGCCGATGTACATTGAATTTTCTTGCCGGAAAACTAAATCCCTAGACACACCAAAATAATATATACAATATATTTTAGATTAATTCGCTTTGATAGCTTGCTTCTCGCATATGTATGTATCATCGTAAAAATGCATCCTTCGACCTTGGAATCGTCACAGACGATTTCACTACCGCTTCTAGCAATTGAAACTTACACAGTTTTCTTAATTTGACAATCAGTAAAATATAATGATGCATACATACACAACGCAAATGTTCTTTGTGCAATTTTTATTTTTGTTAATTTGTCAGTTATTCTTTCGCATGATATTTTTTCCAGTTAGGTTCTGCTTTTTCAACTGCGATTTCAGTTCTGCGTTCAAATCGTACAACCTGCACGAATTATCATTTTACAGAATATATTTTTACATACAGAATTACATCGTAAAATATTATTCACACTTACAGCAAAAATACTTCGTAGACAAGTCTAGCGTTTTTTTTTTAATAAGATTAGTACGTATATCTACACTTTTGAGAAAATATTGAAAATAGACGTATTTCTAATAGCTAATTTACTATTACCTCTACTGCTACTATTTGCTTCCGTATGAATGTACTGTTACTTTTACTACGGTTCTCGTATGCATTCGCCCTCCCATTTATTTAATTTATAGCACGACATTTCTTTGGAAGCTTCCATTTTCCCGTCGCTTCGTCAACTATTTATCGTTGATTAAGGTACCGCAAGAATATATTACAGTTTCGCACTTAGAAATCACAGTCTTAGATAGCTCGGATTAGAGACTATCTAGATTAATGTATAGATTTCTTATGCTTTTCCAACATTATATCTCTCCTAGCGTAGAAGGTAGGGCAGTTGGAGAAAATGCCGATATTCCTACAACGTGGCTCTTCTTTCCGTCTAGGTTCCCGTCGTCCTAGCTTAGCGTCGATTCACAGTTCGACATCCTCGTCTCGTAGCTACAGCGCGCGGCGACTCGAGAAGGAGAGGAACGACAAAGAGCAGCGCCAGGTGCTGCAGGAGCTCCGGCTGGCGAAGCGGGATCCAGTGCAGCAACAGCAGCAACAGGTGGTACCGACGCCCAGTCCCAGGACCCCCCATTCCACAGACGAGTTGTTGCCTTCGGTCGAAGAGGGAAAGGAGGTCTTTTACAACGAGGTAAGTCATCTCCGATGACTTGTTGGGGTTCAACATCCATCATCGTCCATCATCATCAGCGGTGATTTAACGTTGAGAAGTAGCGAGAATAAGCTTCATTACTGCCAAACGTTGCATTTAAAACTTGAAATACCGACGTGTGTCCGACAAGCATGTGGTAGCATCAGAAAATATTTGATGGTGCCGTGATCTTTTTCCAAATCATCAGATTTGATTTAAAATATATCGTTTTGTACACAAAATATGGCTGAAATACGTAAAATACGCTGTCGAGCTTTAGATGAGAGTTGATTATATTTCCAGCAGGTACCAACGACGTCAGACGTATCAGACACCATCCCAATAGCGACGACCATGACGATGATAACGACGACGACGTTAACAACGGCGATAACCACTTCCAACGCAAGCACAACCCAAATGGGCGAGACCGCGCCTATGGCAACGCCAGCGGCCATTTTCGGCACGAGTGTTGCGCCACGGGCTTCCGATGACATTTTTCAAGTGTAGTCTTCATCAAGTACAATGACGTCAAGTGACAAAGACGATGGACTCTCGCTTTATTAACGACCTTTTTATTGTATTTGCAAGAATCAACTGTAACAGCGTCAAGACGGAGGTGCATACGTAAAAGACGCGGGGACGCACTTGCGATAAAATACGAAACTCTAATTATATCAATAGATATAAATGCACAAATATCGAGAATAAGCTAAATCCGTATTTTGTCCGTGTTAAAACGTCGGCTAGTGACAAATGACGTATAGAAACCATTTTTACCTAGATCTATTTGTATTTCTAGTTTATCTCGAGACACGTAAGTGCGAATTTAGGATATATTATATATTTATTTCTCTCTTCAATTCAGAGTACTATAATTCACATATAGAAATGCATGACCAAAATGATTATATGTATTTGACTCAACTTAATTTAACTTGATGCTTAATTATAGAATTTAAGATTGATTCTTTTCTGTTTCTTCTATATTGGAAGTGGATGTTTCATAACTGCCTTTATAACACGGACGAAATACTAATGCAGATACAGGGCACTTTCTGGATGAATGTACTTGGGCACAAGTGTACTTAACGAATTAGAAAAGGTGGCGACATAACATATTTTTACTCGGTACTTGCACAGATAGGAATTTACGAATGCGGCTGGAAAAGTGCAAGGTTTAGTAACACAATTCAGCAACGCAATCAGCGCGATGATAGAATAACAAGTCCTTTTGGATGTCTTGATAGGTACAAACAAAAAAAAATATTGGAAGCACTTACATCTACGTGAGTACGAGAGAAGAAAAACTTACGCTTAATGTGCAAGAATTCGAAGCTGGTGACAGAATATTCCGAAATAATTTGAGTAAAGAGCGTTTCAATGCTTTGAAATAATCGAACTGAGAAATCATAAATATTCGTTGAAGAAATTAATTAATCTGATAACCAATATAATACAATTTTTAATTGTACAAATGTGTAATCTTGCGAAAGGATTGTTTTTAGATATCAACTATACCGGAACAATAGCGATTCACGAGAAAAATTCAATCAATTATTTCGATTAAAATGGTATAATTTACATATCAAAGTATATCAGTATATAATTACATATCAGAATATGATGAAAGCATTGATTCACTTGACAATATTACTATAAAGACATGCATCATAAAATTCTCTTTTTATAATTCTCATGATACGAATATAATCGTACTTCATTCGAACAACAATAAGGATTTTATCAGTTCATCGAGATAAATGATAAGGATTTCAAGTGCATCCAGGCAAATTGCATTGTAACATAAAAGTTTCGACCGAATCCCTCATTTCGATGACAATATATCTGTTCAATAATTACAAGTAATCGTCATACGATTGTTTGTTTAAGTTAAATCACATGAAATTCATATGTGCGAGCACGTCAGAATGCGATTACATATCAGCAGGTCCTAAGACACTATTCCGGTTCGACTTCAATCGGACGAAATCATCGTATCGTACTAAACGTCTTAAGGAAAAGTCACGACACGATAGGAAAACTATTTGAGAGACAATCTCGAGTAGATCGAGGCTAAATATACTTCTCTGTCCTTACGTGAAGCGATGGAAAGACGTAATCTCCTGCCCGGACTTAACAAAACGATAATGCGATTGTAAAAGCCGTGAGAATTAACGCCGCATTGCTGCTATTGCAGTCCAATTACCTCGCTTCGCTAATTGGGATGGTGTGCAATACCGGGCGACGATTCTTTTTCCCTCCCAACGCAGACATTTCGTTAACTTGATTTTAGGCGTGAGACCAAAAAAGGATGACCTATTCATTCGTCAAATATGTACCTATACACAATGCGACTACCTTTTATACCTTTAGACAAGCGCAGCAAAATACCTATATATGTAGATATTATCATATATTGTAGCAAATTTGTTGCAATTAAGCCACCACTCTTTATTCGTTTATACCATTTAACGGTCATTTTACGAACGAGGCGAGAAATTCAATTGTGCGAACATCTATTTTTGTTATTACTTGAAAATTGATTTAATTAAATAATCACATTTCCGTACGAGGCACATTATACGATATTTTGTATATCAAAGCGATAGAAAAATTATGTTTCCAAGATGACTCACAACGTTCAAAAATTTGTTTGGCAACTCGATAAAACGATGAATAAACTTGCCATTGCGTTTACGTCATATCCCGCGATCATTTGCAGACATTAATCGTAAGTTTAGGATAACCAACCAATTCATTTTAACATCACGAGCCTTCGAAATGCAATCTCTGGTTACTAGAAAACTCGCGTAAAATATGAAACGTAATAATATGAAATCAATAAGAGACGTTATGTATCATATACACGGTCACACGTTCGTAATAAAGATTTGCGGAAAATCGGAGACGCGTCAGAGAGAGGCGTAAATCTTAATACCATAGCGAAAACGTATATCAACATTCTCGTGTTCGGATAATTTACGCTGCCTTTCCCGACTAAATAATCAATGGAAAAACAAAGATGAGCAAAAAGCATCGAGAGATATTCTTAAACGCTGCATAGGCATACATACGTACTTACACGCAAAATTCATGTACACGTGACACAGAATTAAGATTATCTTATACGTATTGTGTTCGACAACGATCGCACCTGGTTATTAGGCTCGGTTGCAGTCGATTGATCTATTACCATTAAGGGAAGGAGACGAAGAGAAGATATTAACTTATATCACATAACACAGCCCGCATTTCTCCGAGTTATACTCAATACTCGACACTTGCCTGATTTGTAAAACTCTATGTACAACGTTATCGTTTTATCCCGGTTTTAAATGTTTACTGTATCATAAGATTGTAATATAGTCGTTGGGCCAAATAAAGCTCGTTTTTTTCGACATAAGCACACATGTAGACGCGTGATTATTTCTTCTTAGCTTCAAACATTGCTGAAGGACAGCGGGAGAAGCTCGAGAAGTCAACGCAAGACTTCCATTACACGAAACTTGGTGCATTATTAATATTCACTGTTACTATCTCTCTTCACTCGAGAAGATCCATTTAATTTACTAAAACCGCGTTAAGCACGAGGGGCAGACAATGGCACGCAATCTGAACTTCGTTAATGTTGCAGAAGTGCTGTACCGTCCTTCATTCCACGTGAAACGCCAAGGGGAACTCACGACGCTTATCAGAGTTGTCTCTCGTGCTGTTCCCAAAACTCTTCGCTGTTCGTTCTCCAAAATACTTGGCGTCGCGAGGAACTTGAACGTGACAATTTGCGCCGGTACTCGCTTGCAAAACGCATCGTGTCGATTAGCAAGGAGATCCGAGGCGATAATGGAGGAGGAGGAGATCCACGTGCGGGTGGAAGACAACTCGCCCTCGATAGAGCACAGCTTACGTCCAATATCGTACACCTCCTGGCTGCTGGGCGTCGGTGTCGCGCGTCCGCGAAAGTGTCCCAAGGCTGCCACAATAATCCTACGTATCGTTCACCTGGCCGTGTGTTCCGTAATCGTGGCGTACGGCGCGATAGACTTCTTCACCTTCGGTAACGTCTTCAAGAGCGACATATTCAAGATCATGTACTACATGAACAAGGTGATGTGCTACGTGTCGGCGTATTATTACGTTTGTCACGGGATCCGGTATCACGACAAGTGGCCGGAGCTGATGGACAGAATGAAAGGGCTGGATCAGAAGATCAGGAGGGAGACGCCCATGAGTGACCGGCCCGTAAAAATCGTGGAAGCGCTCGCGATTCTCGCGACGCTCGCCTGTGGACCTTTCTGCCTGATCGTGCACGCTTTGTATTATTACTTTGCACATCCCGAGGACATCTTCGCGTCCGACTTGCTGCTCTACTACTCGATATCCCAGTCGTTGATCAACAGCTTCGTCTTTGACGTCGTCGTCTACGCGCTGTACCACAGACTCCAAACGATAAATGAACTGATCAGTCAGCTGGACGAGCTATTCGGTGCGCCGTGGATCGCGCTCAAGATTAGGCGTGTCAGAGAATTGCACACCGGTAAGTCTCTATGCGTCTCTTACAGTATATAAATTATCTTTTGTCTTGTAATTCGGCAGTGTGCGCCTGGTGTAGTTCCAGATGTAATTTGATACAATGAAGAAATTGCGATATCGAGACGTTGTCGAGTCGTTTAAATTCCGCCCTGCAGGTATCTGCGATCTGGTTATCATGGTAAACGACATTTACGGCTTTCATCTTCTCCTCTGCTCGGCAAACTGCTTCACCATGGTCGTGGCTACGTTATTCAGGATCTACATGGGCGTCGTGGAGAAGAACTACGCGTTCATGCTGATAAATAACATCCTTTGGATTCTGTACGCCGCGCAGTTCAGTCTGATGTGCTGGATTTGCACGCTCGCGCGTCAAGAGTCCGACAGAACCGGGATAATTATATACGCGATTGTATTGAATTGCAAGTCTGCGAATCTTGACAAGCTAAACGGCGTAAGAAATCAGTCGAGTCTGGAAGTGCCGCCGCCGCCGCCGCCGCCGCCGCCGCTGGACGGCGAACAAAATTCTAATCGGAGCAGCAGTTACAATCTCAACTACGTAGTCATGGAAAATCTCCTGCGCAAAAACCTGGACCGGGACCGTGTCAGAAACGAGGTCAATGATTTTTCGATTCAGTTGCAACAGCATCGAGTCGCGTTCACGGCCTGCGATTTCTTTGAAATGAACAACGCCCTGCTCAGTGGTGTGAGTACGCAATTTATTAATTTCAGTAGAATTCACAAAGAGTGAACTCTTGACATTTTTATAATAGCTGTCGGAACAATTAAATGAAAAAAAGCTTTTTTCCAGTTTGTCGGAGTGATCACCACTTATCTGATAATCCTCGTACAATTTTATCGACCCGAAACTCTAGATGCGTAATTGGATGGAAAGTGCTAGGTGATAAAAATTATCGTAGAAAGATAAAAAGAGATACGATATTTTAAATATAACAAACTTATCACTATATAATACAATAGAATCACATTTTTACAGCTCATAAACTCTTGAGAAAATAAAAACTTAAAGGAAACTATGCTGTTGAATTAACGATGCGTGTGGTTGAGTGAAATGAAACACAACAATGTGAAGACTATATGAGAATAAACAACTACGAGTTCGCCATTTAACTTAATCGACTTCCTCGATGGTTGGTCCGGCGCCGCCGGCACCAGGGTTGGGTCCCGCTCCGCCAGCACCGGGGACACCACCGGGCGCTCCGCCACTTTGATACAATTTCGTGACGATGGGATTGCAAACGGCCTCCAGTTCTTTCTGTTTATCAGCGAACTCTTCCTTCTCCGCCAATTGATTGGCGTCCAACCAGGAGATGATCTCGTTGCACTTGGAGAGCACCTTCTCCTTGTCAGAGGCCTCGATCTTATCCTTGACTTTCTCGTCCTCCATCGTGCTTTTTATGTTAAAGCAGTAAGACTCGAGGGAGTTCTTAGCGGAAATCCTTTCCCGCTGCTGCTCGTCCTCCGATCGGTACTGCTCGGCTTCGTTCACCATCCTCTCAATGTCCTCCTTCGACAAGCGACCCTTGTCGTTGGTAATCGTGATCTTGTTCTCCTTGCCTGTAGATTTCTCGATCGCAGAGACGTTCAATATGCCTACAGGACAAAATGCAGAATGTCATTTATAGAAAACGTTGTTCGAGTAACGAATAACGAAACAGTGTCTTCGATTTGATTTTCTTTTTTTCAAAAAACATCAATGTTGCAGCAACTTACCGTTAGCGTCGATATCGAAGGTAACTTCGATTTGCGGTACACCCCTAGGCGCAGGAGGTATACCCGTCAGCTCGAATTTGCCGAGGATGTTGTTATCCTTGGTCATCGCTCTCTCTCCCTCGTAGACCTGGATAAGCACTCCCGGTTGATTGTCGGAGTACGTGGTGAACGTCTGGGTCTGTTTCGTCGGTATCGTTGTGTTCCTCTTGATCAAGGTGGTCATGACGCCGCCAGCGGTCTCAATGCCCAACGACAACGGAGTCACGTCCAGCAGAAGCAGATCCTGGACGGCCTCGGACTTGTCGCCGTGCAGAATCGCCGCCTGAACCGCCGCGCCGTAGGCAACGGCCTCGTCCGGATTGATGGACTTGTTCAGCTCCTTGCCGTTGAAGAAATCTTGAAGTAGCTTCTGAATCTTTGGTATCCTGGTGGAGCCACCGACTAGAACGATGCTGTGAACCTGAGCCTTGTCCATCTTGGCGTCCCTGAGCGCCTTCTCCACAGGCTCGAGAGTGCTCCTGAACAGATCGGCGCAGAGCTCTTCGAACCTGGCCCTGGTGACCGACGTGTAGAAGTCGATACCCTCGAACAACGAGTCGATCTCGATGCTCGCCTGCGTCGACGAGCTCAACGTTCTCTTCGCCCTCTCGCAGGCGGTCCTCAAGCGTCTCAGGGACCTCTTGTTGCTGCTCAAGTCCTTCTTGTACTTCCTCTTGAACTCCTGCACGAAGTGGTTCACCATTCGATTGTCAAAGTCCTCGCCGCCGAGATGCGTGTCACCGGCCGTGGACTTGACCTCGAAGATGCCGTCCTCGATCGTCAGAATCGATACGTCGAAGGTGCCGCCGCCCAGGTCGAAGATCAGAACGTTCTTCTCGCCCGTGGCCTTCTTATCAAGACCGTAGGCTATCGCGGCGGCCGTCGGCTCGTTTATTATCCTGAGGACATTCAGGCCGGCGATGGCGCCGGCGTCCTTTGTCGCCTGCCTCTGCGAGTCGTTGAAGTAAGCCGGCACCGTGATGACGGCGTTTGTTATAGTCTTGCCCAGGTACGCCTCCGCGGTCTCCTTCATCTTCGTCAGAACCATGGAGGACACCTCCTCGGGGAAGAAGGTCTTCATCTCGCCCTTGTACGACACCTTGATCTTCGGTTTCCCGCCATCGCTGACCACCTCGAACGGCCAGTGCTTCATGTCGCTCTGCACGGTCGCGTCATCGAAACGGCGGCCGATCAAACGCTTTGCATCTTTGGGGAGAAAACGAGAAAAAAGATTCGTAAGTTATCTATCTCTTCGATATCCGTCACGCAGAGCGCACGCTGAGATGAGATGGAGAGGAGGATCCTGTGGATTGTGATCGGAGGTAATGGTCGCGGAACGTCGTGCGTTATCGCCGAGCCAGGTATTCAACACTTGCCAACACTTTGTACAAAGATAATTTCGTAAAAAGAAAAATCATGGAGTAATCTACTTACCGCAAATTATATTGCAATCGCGAAAAGAGATCAAAAAGGTTCGTAAAATAAATTATATCGAACACAACGCGAGTAAGATTTGCATTACATCTGCACAATGTAATACGTTTCTAAAATACATAATAAAAATGAAAAAGTATACACTTTTTTTATTATATATTTTTAGACATATACTTTTTATGGCTAAAGCGGAGAGCACACACTTTTGCATAAGGAATTTGATTGGTTTATTTCCTTATGCATTTGCTTTATAGATGCAATCAATTTCTTTATGCACATGCTTACGCACTTCTGCAAAAGTGTGTGCTCTCCGCTTTAGCCATAAAAGGTATATGTTTGAAAATATATAATAAAAAAGTGTATACTTCTTGTTACTTTTTGCACTTGTGCATAAAGTGTGTGCTCCCGCCCCAGGTCATTTTCTGCTGCATCAATATTCGCGTACGTTCTCAAGTCTAAAAGGAGTTAAATAAGCGTCTCTAACATTGAGCGACAGACGTGTCGCGTGAGTCACTGTGATTTACGATCGTGGGATCGTAAATCTGTGCCGGCGCACTGTGGCTGGCACACAAATTAGGATTACATAAAACTGCGATACAAACGTCAAAACGCCCGGCTACACTGTTGAAGGATGGGCGGTCGGGGAAAAAGAGGGGAGGATTG